TGGCCATCTATTCAGGGTGCTTTCCCCTGCCTCTGGCCTAAGAAACTGGGATAGGCTCCAGCCCTATGACTTGGAAAGGTCGTATTAGGAATGGATGAGATGGATCCCAACCACGTTATATTAATGAGAATCACATGGTCTGTTGTATAAAATTCTGCACTCAAGTCCAATAAAACCAGGGCTGCCGAATTACCTGAATCTCTGATTATACGAAGATCGTGTACAACTCTGAGCCACCCTAAAACCAGATTGAAATGTATTCTAGGACCTCATTCTTTCCTAAAAATGACAGTGACAGAACTACCTTTTTCTACAATCTTTGATATGCAATATTCCAATCTATTGTCATACACTCATAAGACGATAGACTGGAAGCAATGATTTATATCGCTCTGTGGGGTTTTTCAAGCGTCAACCGAGCAGCAGCCATTCAGTGGCATTATATGGCCTCACAGAGATGGATTATTTTCCTAAAAATCTTCGCTTTTGTTTATCTGAAGAAAGAAAGGAATCGGGAATGGCATGAGTGTGGGTAAAAAAATGAGAGAATTTTCATTTTTGGGTCAACTTTCCCTTTAAACTTTTCATCCAAGAATGCTAACATTATTTGAGATTAAAAAATAAATGGATGACTGGCTTTTAGATATCTGACCATGGCTCATTTTTTCAGTGTTTTTTTCTTTTCTTTTATAACTTCCCAAGTCCACTGGCCTTTTTAACACCTTTCTTAATGACTGGTAGCTTTCCTACACTGGCTTTATGGGTGGCCGGTGATGCAGCTCAAGCAACATCCTTATTAGTACAATAAGGTTAATTGGTGTGCGATGCCATTGAGCAAATTCCATTTTCTGTTGTAACCTTGGAGGATTTTTCATCCTGCTCACAAAATGGACGTGTCACGCTGATGGCTGAATACCGCAGCTGAATTAGTCGGTGCAAAGGTATAATCATAAATCTGATTCGAATTCGTAATAAAAAAAGTCTGTCCGTCAGGAAAATAGTGTGATCATTAGTGGTTGTCTTTTCAATTTTCCATTTAAGTTCTGCAGACTGGCTTGAAAAAGACTTTTTTACATGCAATTTGGACACACTATTTTTTCATCATTTCCAGATAAACAGTCTGCAAGATAAGACATTGGTTGGTTTGAACAAACTAGAAGCCTTATTTGCACCTTAGATTATTTTTCGCAATGTAGATTATTTTATCCGGCTGAATAAAGGCAGATCCAATTATCAGGCTGTGTAATGCTTGAAGAAGCATAAATGCAATTGAGGTAGTTGGTATATCTATTCAAATACATATATCACTCTGGGAAACAGACAGATTAGTATGAATATGGCAGCTTCATTATAGTTCACATTATAGTTCTGTAAATAATCTACACCTTTATCATGTTCATATTCTGTCTTGTAACTGGTTTAAAAAGTCATACAATATATTATTTATGTTTGAATTGAACAGTTTGACTATAAAGTGTTACAGCTAACAATATATGTTTAGTTATGAGTCAACTCAAAACACAAACTGCGTTTGGCAGACATTTTTATCCAAAGGTACTTCCATTGCATTCAAGCTACACTTTTTTTTACCATTTATGCATTCCCTTTGTGCAATTTATGAATCTGACCCATGACCTTGGCATTGCTATCAAGAAAGATATGCAATTTAATTCAAAGTGGTCAAAAAAATGATTACTTTTTCAAGTTGGAATAGTAGAGCTGCACAATTCTGGATTAATTGAGAATCACATTCTTGTTTTTTTGTTTCTTTTGTTTTTCCAATAGACATCACGATTCTCAATTGATTTTGAATTGACAGTTTGGTTGCTACCGTAGACATCAGTGTTTATATCCAAACTATAAATGTTTTTATCCCAGTACTTCTTATTTTTAGTATGTACGTTTATTTATTGAGGTTATTTAGTCTAATGTGTCTCTGAATGCTGTAAATTCCCTTCTTGTTTGCTCAAACACTTCTCATTGTGCTCACCACCCATGAAGATTAACAATTTGTTTTCCATGCATCACTGCAGTGTGTGTGTCCAGAGCTCATCATCACAACAGAGATCGGCCTTCTGTGAGTCTGAACGCACAAACAACACACGTACAACACAAACAGTCTATTCCACAGAGGCCTGAACCGGCTGTTGCCTTATTGTCCTTGATCATCTGTATCTTCAATAGCGATGGACAGAGTCCCTCACAATCCAGCCTGTTGCTGAGTAGCGGATTTGGCAAGATTGGTGCTTCCCAGCTGTATTTTCTGGAGCCAAATGCAGCATATTACAGATATGAGCTCAAGTGTCCATTATCTCTAATTAGATGGACCGTACGGGGGAGACACAAACAGCCACTTTGGAAATTATGGTGTTGACCCTGACGCAGAATGACATTAGGAGGTCATATTATCTTGAACTGCTTGATAAGGTGAGTGTGATGTTTGTTAAAATGGCTTACAAACAGAAATAAACTGTTTATGTAAACCACTTAACCCTTTAAAGATGATTTTTCCAATGTTTAGCTTGCTTGCATTTGATTAAGAAATGAAACATTGTATCAAGCTGAAAAAAGGAGGGTGATAAAAGTCTTTTTAATGAACTGAAAAAAGAACTGAGAGACAAAACTGGCCAAGCTTCGCTATAAAGACAAGATGGAGGATGGAGTTCATAGTCCAGACCCTGCTTCCTTTGAAGAGCAGCTAAACACTTTTTACGCCAGGTTTAATTGGACTAATCCCGGGAATGACTGGGACCAGATTGATATCAGTAGTGCCTCTACACCAATCAGTGTGGATGAGCAAAGGGTTGTTTCCATCCTTTCAATTACAGCCAAGGAAAGCTCCTGGTCCAGATGGACTTGAGGGCCACATGTTGAAAGAGAGCTCGGCCCAACTAGGTGGGATGGTGACTCAGCTCTTCTGCACTGAACACAGTGTATGTACCTAGAGCATGGAAGGAGACAACCATTATTCCTGTTCCTAAAAAAAAAAAAACATGTCAAGGAGATGACAAATTTTAGACCTGTGGTACTCACCTCGATTCTTTGCAAGTGTATGGATAAGGTGGTGGCGGGAGAGCTTACCACCAACGTAGCCGAGTGTCTGGACCCGCTCCAGTTTGCCTATAAGCCAAAACGGGGAGTTGAGGATGCCAGCTTATCTCTCTTGGATACAGTGACTGGACACCTGGACCTTCCGAACTCATTTGTTAGGATTTTATGGCAGGGCAGGTAGTGGAACAAGCTGAGACCTTCACATATTTGGGCACTGATATTGATAGGCATCTATCCTTTACTCAGCATGTGAATAGCGTCTATAAAAAGGCTAAACAGCGCTTATTTCTTTTGAGAAGGTTGAAGGGTTTTAATGTAAGACAGAATATCTTGACAGCAGTGTATCATTCTCTTGTTGAATCAGTTATGACCTTTAATATTGCATCCTGGTTTCATTTTCCTTCTGCTGAAAACAAGAAAAAAAAAAAATCCAGAGTAATCAAACAGGCATCTAACATTATTGAGGCCCCGCAGATTCAACTTGTAGATGTCTATAACTGTGCAGTAAAGAGGAAAGCAGTCTCCATCATTGCTGACCCCTCTCATCCTCTGTCCCGCTCTCTTCAGTTACTGCCATCAGGTTTCCGCTTTAGAGCTCATTTGGCCAAAAAGAAAGCTTACAGGAACTCTTTTATTCCAACTGCAATTTCTATTTTAAATAAGACCAAATAGTTTTATTAGTATACTGTATTTAAGCTTTTGTTTATTTATTTACATATTTGTAAGGTACTTTCTTTGGATTAGTTGTGTTTTGTGATGTGTGGGTAACACTTTACAATAAGGTTCATTAGTTAACATTAGTAAATGCATTAATTAACATGAACTAACGATGAGCAATACATTTGTTACAGTGTTTATTAATCTTTGTTAATGCTAGTTAATAAAGATACAGCTGTTCATTGTTTGTTCATGTTAGTTCACAGTGCATTATCTAATGTTAACTAAAACAACCTTTGATTTTAATAACGTATTAGTAAATGTTGGAATTAATATTAACTAAGATTAATTAATGCGGAAGAAGTGTTCATTCTTAGTACATGTTAACTAATGTTAACTAATGAACCTTATTGTAAAGTGTTACCAATGTTTTTTTTATTATTATTTGAATATAAATTTTGAATTCTTGCTTCTAGTGTTTTATATCAAATGATTTTCAGATATGTTACAGATGGGCAGTTGTTTTGAAAACAGACCTCTTGCTCTCTTTTGCAAGCTGATGTCACAATGGATAAAAGTCTCAGTGTTGCTTGGCAATAGTTTTTGTCCTTTCAGATGGATGCACCCTTGTTCATGCTCGACAGTGACCACAAAAAAATACAAATAAAAATGGACACATAAATCACACTTAAAAATGTATGACTGTAATTTGCAGTGGGTAATGAAATACCAAAGCAAGTGGCGTCTGCATAATAACTTGATATCATGTTGACATTCATCACCTTTAACTATGGACATGATCCACTACTTGTCTTTATTCTGAACGTTATATCTCATTTGAAATCTAACAAACTTGTTTTTGGGAACTTTTTGACTTTTTTTGTTATCTATTGAAATGGATTGTGTGTGTGTGTGTGTGTGTGTGTGTGTGTGTGTGTGTGTGTGTGTGTGTGTGTGTGTGTGTGTGTGTGTGTGTGTGTGTGTGTGTGTGTGTGTGTGTGTGTGTGTGTGTGTGTGTGTGTGTGTGTGTGTGTGTGTGTGTGTGTAAATTCTAGCCAAAATATAGTGTTCCAATATTATTTCAGAACTGCTTCATGAGGGGGGGAAATCAGTTATACATGATATACAACAATAAATCTAAAGTATGCAAGTATAATGTAATGTGTATAAGCCACACTGTAACCTATCGTCATTTCAAAGACGCGCTCAAGAATACTTAGCCTCACTTTTTTTCTTAGGGAAATGCTCTGAATGGGCGACGCATGTCTCCTTTTCCCACCAGAAGAGGGCAATCCGATGCATAGCACTTGCAAAAGAAGGTTAAGCAATGACTGCACCAGTGTTGAGAGCAACCACACTCACACACTCCTCTTAAAAACCTGCTTCTGTATTTGACAGATGTTCGGAGAAAGAATGGCGAACTGAATGTGGCTTACAGGACGATCTCTGAGCTCCCGTAAGATCAGCAGATATCAGGAATACATCACTCATCCTGCGCACAGCTTCTTAATTTTTTTTTTTTTTTTTTTACAGGACATAAGAAATATGTTTGCATCCCTCGCTAGGTTTTCTTCCTAGCTGTGCACCTTACCGAACATCCGATGGTGCGCTTTTGCGCAAATCTCTCCAAACTTTCCAATCAAGTGGAGGATATTGTAATGTGAAGGATATCGCTGATACGCATACGCACGCTCTGGGAATGATCTTTTTGGACGTTCTCGTATAAGTAAACCTCAATGTTTGTCCCTTACGCTGGGAAGAGCTCTTAGAATTTCTCCGTTGTTCACTTGGACATGTTGCGCAGCGGCGCAACTGCGGGATTGAAATAACGCTGCTGTTGCTGGAGTTTTCCGAACCTCGCCAACATCTCGGGCACCGCAGCTTTGGGCAGGTGCTTCTTTCTGAGTGTGTTTGAAGACGGTGCCATGCGGAGTCTGGAATCGCACATCGAAGGGCTGTAAAACCTGCAAAAAAAAACCCCGCGACATTTACGCAGAGATGGGTATGTTTCCGTTGATTTGCATGGCTCTAAATAAATCCATACATTTAGTAAGGTTGGCTTTTTGGATGCAGTTGACAGTACAGTGACGATATGAGGTGTATATAAAAGAAACCTGCGCTTCACATCATAAGATCGTTTCTTAAAATAGCTTTGCTGCGGGTTTTATAAGAGTGTGTATGTGTTTAAGGCAAATGCTTGAAGCATCTTTGAGCATGTCCTTGATAGCACGCAACTTTCATCATGCATACCTGTGAAGACATCATATTGACCAGCATTTATTGCAGCATATTACATTTCGCGTGGGTGTTGTGCTTGTATATGATCAACAGGCTGTCTCTCTGTCAGATGTTTTTTTTTGTTTTTTTGTTTTTTTTGCCCTGACTGGATTCTCGGAAGCCCATATTCTCATGGATAACTCGCTTCTGTTGGAGAGAATAGGTGCTGCCTTATATGTGTTCTTGTGTATCAGACTTCAGTAAAAGCAAATCTCATTTTAGGAATATAGCACTTTATAATTCACTATATGGGATACAAATAACTACATTTATTTAGTAAAGAACAGGTAAAATCTGCAGTGTGATGTCAGTTATTGCATCCTTCAGGAGAAAGACTTTGATTGATGCTTCAGAGCAAAAGATGCTGTCATAGTGGAAAGCAGTGATTTACTGTTTGGTTTTATGCAGTCATTCATGTTGCTTGGAGTGCATATGCCTTATTGTAGTCTCTTAACTGTTGCTTGTTTTGCTGGCTCCTTCTTTCTGTTGAAATTTCAGGAAAGAAAGAATATCCTTCCATTAGATGCCTTTAAAATCATTCTGTAATTATTGAGAGCACAGATGGTTGTCCCCATCATAAATAATCATAATCAGATCATAAATAATACCCCGCCCCCTTCCTTTTCCAGTCATCGCCCTGCATGGAAGAGTCATTCATTCAATATGGCTTAATGAAATGAAACGATGCTAAAAGCAAAAAGGGAAGTGTGTAAGAGTGAATAGGCTCGTATTCAGAATATGAGGATTGTCATCATAATGGCTTGATGTCGTAGTGTCTTTATGGCTGTTTACTGTGCAGATGATGTAGGTGGATGTTCACTTCTGCGCCTCACAGGTGTGCTGTTCGCTCAACTCGCTCAGCTCAGCCTTATTCTGCTGACATTTATTATATCGACTGCTAAGAGTAAAGCTTGATAACATAATTAAACACATTTAGCAGAAATGTTTGGATGAGCCTCACAATGAAAGGTAGTTCTCATTGTAACCTATAGAGTGCATTATAAATGATTAACATGACACTGTTTTCTGTTAAGGGATGAATACATATTTTCACTCTCTCCCTGAATGCAGGGCTCGGGACACCCCAAACATGGGTCTTAAAGCAATATACTCCCAGACTATTACAATATGTCACTCTGAAAAAGACAAACGGTCAGAAGAGAGATATGTTGCGTAAAGAAAATGAAGCATATTTTTAAAGCTATTAAAATTGATTGCATCATAACAATTTAGCACCCCAACTCGATTCTCATTATACCTTAAAGTGTAAAAAATAATAAGCAAAACATATTCTGATTGCTGTAATACAGTATTGAAAATCATCCTGTGAGGACAGTTTTTTTTTTTTTACAATCAGCATCATTTTAGTTCAATCCAACAACTATAATTGTTGCAAATGTCTAAATAATATATATTTTTGTTACAGTAATGTGATTTTTTAATAATAGTAATAGTTAATAATTCGTTTTTCTGGGTACTCAATACAGTAAGAAACTGACTGTGCTTAATGGTCATAAAAGTCAAGTCAAATCAAGTCACCTTTATTCATATGGCGCTTTATACTAAACATATGTTTCAAAGCAGCTTTACAGTGATAACAGGAAAATTATTCAATGATGCAAACAGAGTTCATTTCGGCTGTACAGCAGATCTAATAGAAAGTCATTTCAGTGTTGATTCAGTTCCATTGTAAAGAATATCAATTATTAAATTAGTTAATTTCATCTATAAAGCAGTTCTGCAGAATACAGTGATGTCATTGTCCAGCTCATTTCAGATCTCATAATATTGAGAAAAGTTTAAATGAAAAAAAGTATGCAATGAAAACAATATTTCATTATTTTCTTTATTTCATTATTTATTATATATATATATATATATATATATATATATATATATATATATATATATATATATATATATATGTGTGTGTGTGTATATATATATTATTTATTTATTTAATAACGAATTATTATAATTTAATAAACAATTTATTAATTAAATAATTTTGTATCCATCATTTAATTTCAAATGTTTTTAAGTTATATTCTAGATTTTCTTTTGATTTTTGATAGTGTGAGATTTAATCTTTGTAAATGTGTTTATTTTGTTTTTAAAGCAGTATCTGCACTGTGAATGCAGTGTGTGGAAGACAAATAAATGCAATAATATTAACCAGAATTTAACTCTCATGTCAGTGACATGTTATGTTGCAGTATCTGTCACTCGGTTATGATACCATTGTCCCACGCTGGCACACTTAAACAAGCTGTAAAGTAATATTATAATAGCACAGCATGAAGAACAACTACTTACTGTCATATTCATGTTAAGTACCTCAGTGCAATATTACAGCGCTACATAAAGGATAAGACCCAAAGCTAATTCCTCAATCCCCCTCCTCTCGTTCTCTCTACCTGTCTCGCGTTACTCACGTGTCTTGCCACAGCACACTGAAAGACATCTGGACACATCAAATGTCCCTTATTAAATGCCTAAGAGCTTTCCCAGGTAATAGAGTGGAGAGGGTGTCAAAACAGATAACTGGAGGGAGAGAGAGAGAGACAGAAACATGTCAGTGAATGAGAAATGGATGCAGGAAGTCTGTGTCTTGGTCTTGATTGCCAAAAAAGGGGAAGACAGTTTCTCGGTTATGACCTGTGCTGTCAGGGGAAATTAAAATGTGGGTAATGGAGATATCATTAAGTTTGATAGGAGGAATAATAGTAAAAAAAATCTTTAGATGTGAAATCTCTTTTGTGACTGTTGCACGTGGGCTCCTATTTGAATGTGATGGGATTACTTCAGAGCTGTTCAATTTTGTGTCAGATTATCTTTGTGTGAGATTAGCACTGCTGTTTTGGGATTATGCTTTTCCTGCTCGCACAGAAACAAATCACAGATGGGATTAGAGTGGAAAAGTTGGCCACCGTTACTGTGGTATTTTCTGCAGGGCTCTGTCGATGCTGTGTGTACTTTAAGTTATGGTTGTAGTTTATTGTATGCAGTGAAAGTAATTGCATGAGAGAGTGCATAATCTTGACATAACAGATCAAACCCTTCTACAAAGAGGACAATTGTGTTGCTCAGATATTGCTCTTTCATAGTTTAGGATTCCTAGATAATGCTATACGAGAAAATAAGATCACTGTTGTATCTCACTTATTTCTCTTAGGCAGCAATGACATGGAGTGGAAAGCAAATGAAGATTTTTGATGAAGTGTTATGATGTTTCTCCTGAGATGAAGACCTATCATCTGTTTCCTGTAGAGTTTCAAAAGAGAAAGATATTCTCAATGAAAGATACCATCAGAACCAAATTATCTGAGCTGTGACAAATTTTATAGCAAGCTTTTTTTTTTTCAGTGGTTTCTCTAAACTTGTTTAGACACAAATGAGTTATCAAATGAATGTGTATAGTAGCTCAGACCATTTGACCTTGGGCGATTTGATGAGAAATGCTTGAGATTGACATTTGATTGCAGACGTATTTTATTTAAAGCTGCAGTTCGTAGTTTTTCCTCTTTGTCGCCATCTCTGTGCGAAATCTGCAATTGCAGTTATTCGTGGAATTATCAACTTTAAACTCTAAACAATGCTGGGTTGTTTTAACCCAAATTTGGGTCAAATATGGACAAACCCAAATGTTGGGTTAAAAATGTCATTTAAAATTGTAACCCAACTTCAACTTTCACTTTCAACTGTAAATTTTTTTAACCCAACATTTGGGTTTGCAGTCTCTTTGCAGTTTGCAGTTTGCAGATGTTGCAGTCTCTTTTTTTCTGTAGCCACTCCGAAGTCCGAACGAAGTCTTTTACATTTTACAACGTGTGAATCTCCAGTAATCACTGGTGATTGTCGTTTGAACCTTTCTGGATCCGCCATCAAATTGATAAGTTTATAATTATATCAAGTGATGTGAGAAAAGGCTATAAATCTCCGCCTCCAGCATCCTCACACGCAATATACCACATACTAGCCGAGACTCCTTCTTTATGTGTACAGATGTGTGTGTACAGATGTGACGTAATGACGCAAAGACATGCTCGAATCTCCCACGGAAATCCACCAGTACCACTGGAATTAAAAACATTATTACAAGCTTACCGTTTTGAATCGAGCTAAGGCAAGCAGAGAGTTTTGAACACTGTTATGTACTTGCTCAAAAAATTATTTTGGATCATTTTTAACCCAACAAAAGTATGCAGCTTTTAATACAGTATACATTGAATTGAGATTACTGAGGTCTTTTCCCTCAGGATTAAAACCTGAGAAGCTGGAGAGACTTTGTACACCATGTCATTCCCTTGCTGCGTAAGAAAAACAATTGAGATATTAAAGGGATCTCATTTAGATTTTTCTTTCCCATGGGTATCTAGCATCCAGCCTGTGAGATTGCTTTTAGCACAGAAAAGGCTTTGCAGAAACTGCGGTTTTGAGATCTGGATATGTGGACGCGTTTTAATGTTGGTGGCGTGATGAATGAGTTTTAAGATCAAGGGCTGGTTTACACGCACTATTTGACTGCATCTTGGCTGCCGTTCCTTTATCGTGATGAATTGGATGCAGGAAGGTGGGGGAGGCCAAGATGCACTTATGCTATCATGCATATATGCAGCGAAAGACAAATTAAGTGGAGGTTTTCAGGTTTGCTCTTTTTGTACGTAAAGCGTGACTCATGAGGGTGACTCCAGCCGTTACGCTGTGAGAGTTAATTAAAACTTTGAGAATTTGCATGCAAACCCTATTGGCTTGTACAGTTGCTCCTTGTGTCCTTGCGTACTTTTGCATAACTTCATTTGATCTTGCCCAAGGTGTTCTGTGTAACTGGTAATATTGCAGAGACTAAATTGATTTACCTGTCCCTCTTTTTCTAATTAGGCTGTTCTTGCCCTCCCAAGCGACATGTGGACAATTTTAAGGGCTAGAATGCTTTACAAAAAGTGTGTTCCGGGTTGTCTATTGGATTTTTCACATGTTAAAACCCACCTACGAACATCCTAGCAACCACATAGCAACATGGCAAAAACACTCTATGAACACTTCTATGAAGCTCAAAGTAGGTCATACTTTACTTTATGTAGCACTACATTCTCATTTACAATCAGCGGTAACATTGACTTTGATTAGGAATATTTTTACTCGAGTAAAATCACTGGGAAATAGGCCTTAAGTTGTGTAACCATAAACCTCGGCTACTTTGCACTGTAACACATTTACTTTAGACTATTCACAAGAAGATTAGGGACTGTGTTTTTCTCTGATTATTTCAAATGAATTCAATGGCAATTTGCAATGCCACACAGAACTGATTGTTCTGCAGATAACAGGTTGTTCAGCCGGCCTACGCTCTGTCTTCAAGACTATTAGATTAGCCTTTTTCATTCAATTGACCTACACAAAATGTTTCGATTAGATCTGGATCTGGAGGCTGGTAAACAGTGGTCAGGCTGGATGATTCAAATGCATTGCTGATCACCATTGTACATTTATACAATTACTTTTATATTTACTCAATAGTTGTAATATAATTAAAGATTCATATGGTACAGCTTTGTGCTGGCCACTCGAGATAAACCAATAATTTCCTGTTTTTGCTCCAAGAACAGCAGAGAAAATGCTGTTATAACCTTTGGCACACCCTTAGCTGGAAAAAAGCTTAATTTCTGCCTAAATTGAGGATAAAGCATAAAGAGACACTGAGCCAGCCAAGGAGGGAATGGAAATTTTCACTGTCCTTTATTGATCGTCAAAGATGTTTTCATTTATTTTAAATATTTTACATCCTGTATTTTTTTTCCCTTAAAATAGCAATTTTGTCTCTCTTATTATTTGCAGTATGAAACTCATATTTCTTCTTGGGAATACAAAAGGAGAATTACTTTGCTGGTCACTGTTTTCCATGCAATTACATTGAATAGGGACTGACACTTTCAAGCTTCAAACAGAACCAAAAGCACTATAAACGTATCACAAAAGTAGTCTGACTTATGAACTATATTCATATGATAGCTTTGTGTGATGAAAGGACCTAGATTTACATCATTATTCACTAATTATCTTTTTCTCCAGTGAGCTGTTAACCTCTGCGACCGGCTCATTGAGTCAGTTATTTGAGTTTGAGAACCACATCGGTCCAATTTCTGAACAAATCGTTTGAATCACAAACTATTCAGACCATTCATTTTGGAACTGGATTAACCGATTCATTTGACTCAAAATAATGATTCACTCATCACTCAATCACTACTTCTCTCATTAACAGACCAAAGGACTGTTCCTCACGTAATTATCCAGCTATTGTATAAGTCATTTGAACAAGAAGTCCCTTTTTTTGGCTTCAGTCCTCATTTTATATTCAAATAAATTTAATATAAAGTCAAATGGTTTTGGAATACTGTAATGGCAACTGAAGTACTTTAAGATTTTGGTACAGAATGATAAAGCACAATTGATCAGTTAGTATTTTCTAGCAATGGATTTTTGATTGTATCATTGTTTCAATTAGAGAACAAGACAATCACAAGGACATGCAGGCATCACTCAGCTCTCTCTCTCTCTCTCTCTCTCTCTCTCTCTCTCTCTCTCTCTCTCTCTCTCTCTCTCTCTCTCTCTCTCTCTCTCTTCTGTACTATTGTGATACTTGAGTCTTTATTTTTATCTGTAGCTTACCTTAATTGACACAGTAGTCTTCTTATCAGAAAATGTTCCATGACTTTTGTATGTAGTATGTGTTGATATCATACTGTGAACAATGAACATAGAGAACAGTATTCTCTTACCTCAACAGTCCGGTTTCTCTATCAGAGAGTATTTATTGGAGCCAATGTGTAATTATGGTTATTGAAGACATTCCCTAAGGGGAATGTTTTACTCTATTAAAATTACTCTAAGCTCTTTCAGTTGCTTCAAGGTAAAGGTGTATATTTGCTTTCTTTTTTAATTAAAGTACATGAAATAAGCATGGAAAATCAATTGACACTGGCATCTTTTAAGAATGCCAGAAGAACAATTTGCATAATAATCACATTTAATGTAAAATGAAAAGAAGTTAAATAAAATTCTGACTTGAAGCAAGACAAGTAAGTTCATACTTTCCTCCTCCGTACAAAATTTGATTCAGTAGACATTGGCTATGTAATTTGATAACCTACTTTTTGCAAACTGTGTAGCGGGACTAATTAAGTATTTACTAATCCTTGTAAGCAAGTTATCAGTTTTTGACTAAACGCAAAATGGCAGACTAGGATCAGAATTGACTGAATCATGGCTTATCCCTTCTTTCTTTCTGTGTTTAATGCAGGATCCCTGGTCAGATCCCGCTGGCTGATGATCCCCCTGCTCGTGCAGGCCTGGCTATTGGCTTCCCAAGGCAGAGTCCGAGAGAAACCATGTCCCCGAAGCTGCCGCTGCGATGGCAAAATAGTGTATTGCGAGTCAAATGCCTTCCGTGATGTGCCAAAGAATGTTTCCGTGGGATGCCAGGGCCTCTCTCTGCGTTACAACAGCTTGGTGAACCTCAGGGCTGGTCAGTTTTCCAGCCTCAGCCAGTTGGTCTGGCTGTACCTAGACCACAACTACATCAATGCAGTGGACAAACAAGCCTTTCAGGGTGTTCGAAGACTGAAGGAGTTGATTCTCAGCTCCAACAAGATCACACATTTGGAAAACAACACGTTCCATTCGATCCCCAATTTACGCAATCTGGACCTCTCTTACAATAAACTCCAAGTCCTGCAGCCGAATCAGTTCCAAGGCTTGCGCAAACTTTTGAGTCTCCACGTCAGATCGAATTCCCTAAAGACGGTTCCCATGCGAGTGTTTCAGGATTGTCGAAACCTAGAGTTCCTTGATTTGGGCTACAATAGACTGCGAAGTCTCACCCGTAATGCATTTGCGGGACTTCTCAAGCTGACTGAGTTACACTTGGAGCACAACCAATTCTCAAAGATCAATTTTTCTCATTTCCCAAGGCTGAACAACCTCCGTGCTTTGTATCTGCAGTGGAATCGGATAAAGTCAATAACCCAGGGAATTACATGGACATGGACCTCTTTGCAAAAGCTGGATCTCTCTGGGAATGACCTGCAAGTGTTGGATTCAAGCATCTTCCAGTGTCTCCCTAACTTGCAGACTCTTAATCTGGACTCCAATAAGCTAAGCAACGTGTCTCAAGAGGCCATATCAGCTTGGATTTCTCTTACTACCATCAGCCTTGCAGGAAACATTTGGGAATGCAGCCCCAGCTTATGCCCCCTTGTAGGCTGGCTAAGAAACTTCAAGGGGAACAAGGAGACCACAATGATTTGTGCTGGACCAAAGGAGGTTCAGGGTGAGAAAGTCATCGAGGCTGTTGACACACATGGCATCTGTAAGACAACCCCCACCACTTACCTACCGATCTCCTCCACTGTAAGCTCCCCATCCAAACCTGGACGTTTCCCCCTGCCCACCATGTTCAGGGTGAATGAGAAAATAACTCGCAAAAACCCTGTTGCGCCTTCCCCGACAGCTGCTTCCCCACCCATCCCTGAGCAGGACTTTGAGCATGTTTCCTTCCACAAGATAATAGCCGGCAGTGTTGCCCTCTTTTTATCCGTGGCCATGATCTTGCTAGTGATCTACGTCTCCTGGAAGCGTTATCCCAGCAGCATGAAGCAACTGCAGCAGCATTCCATGGTGAGAAAACGCCGGAAAAAGGCACGGGAGACAGAGCGCACCCTCAGCTCCCCACTTCAGGAATATTATGTGGACTACAAACCCACAAACTCTGAGACCATGGACGTACTGGTCAATGGGACAGGACCCTGTACCTACACCATCTCCGGCTCCCGAGAATGTGAGGTATGATCCGTCGCCCTCCTAAATCCCATTACCACTGCGGGGAACAAGAGGTAAATGTCCAGTCGATGTGAGGCAAAAAAATGTGTTGTCTCCCCCCTTTTCCGCTGCTAGCTGTTCCCCTCTAATGGGTAGGAAACATGGGTCAGTGCATGGCAACTTGAGTCCTATGTTCTCAGGCTGTAATCAAAGATTTATTTACTTCTTTTACCTCAGGTATAGTAAGATAAAACATCCTCAAGCCAAAAACACCTTGTTATATATCAAACAGCAGCACTGGTTTGGGGAATTGTTACTCTCTACAGGCTTAAAGCAAAACATTGTGTGCTGTTTTTAAAATACACCACTGATTGGCTACAAAAAAATCATGTAGTTTTAAAGTTTCAAGTCTCTGTGCATTGCTCCTTTCCTATCCTCTGTGTGTTTTTACATTATTATCAACATACAACACCCCAGGCAAATGGCTGTTGAGTCAAATTAATTGTGGTGGCCTGCTTTTTTAAAGAAAAGAGACCGAAAAAGACATTGATGAAATGTGAGAGCTAATATATTTGTCTGGTTCCTAGATAAATATTTGCCTCATTTTGGACTCAGTGGTTTTGGTAGCGATGACCAGATTATTGAAGGGTTGGAGAGATTTTCCTTAATCATGCACTTTGTCAGACAAATCAGCTGTTCAGGACATAATTAAAGGTACACATCGCTAATCCTTACGTAATCCGCCACATGGCTACTCGTGGATGCTAGACATTTGTCTTGCAAATGCATCCCATAATTTATGCAGTGTCATGCGTTCTCCGCAATAAATATGATAAGGCACAGGTCCAGACATGGGGAAAATAAACGTAAAGCCTTTTGGCATGAAATAGCTAATCAGGGGAGTCAGGGTATGCAAACAATACATATTACATTTCTATTCTAGCAGCCATAGAACAGCAAAAGCAAAGGCAATCTTCATGGTAGGTCTAATTATGCATGGCTTTCAGCAAAGGTCATCTTGAGTATCATCTCCATCACATTTCCAGAAATGTTAGAACAAGGTTGAGATCCGTTGGGTGCCTAACTTGTGGGACAGACATCATTTTGTCTTGGATTGTTGATTCAGTAGATTGTAGGTAAATTTGTATGGCAGTTAAATTCCCATTGTAAGTAATGAGCAAGCCCAAGGGATGTATTTCAACAGTTCTAAAATGTGATAAAGCTGGTTTCCATTTAGTTGTGCAAAGGAAGCAATAACAAGGAGTTTGTCCTGTGAAACAAGGTCAGAGGAAATAATTGTCGACGTGAATTAATGAAATTCACAAATGGATGGAATTTACAAGTGTTTGACTAAGAGGCTAAGCGATTTGTTTGGAAGTGCTATGGTGATTGTCTTTGCTTTTGTACCAATAACTTTTAATATTTCATATTAGTGGTTGAATCTAAAATGTAAACAAGGTGCTGTGCTTTTCCACTTGTGTATTGTTGCTGTGTTGATTAATTTGCTTTATGATCTTTTTGTTGTTAGTATCCATCATGTCCTTTGCCCCCTTTGTTGCTCCTGTTGATGTGTTTTTTCAGCCTTTTGACAATTGTGATTGAATTTTTTTGTCCGTAAATGAAAACTGCAGAACTAAACCCTGCATTTTAGCAAGTCACCCTTACCACTATGTGTAACAGTGATATTGGGTGATTTGTGTGAATGACCTTTTGTGAAGCATGTGTTTTCCCTATTGCTAAGAACCCAAAAGGGAAAGCATATCATTTAATGTACAGTATTATGTATTCTGCATAATGCTAGGATACAGGTAATTATGGTTTTCAGAGATGTACAGGACTGGAAGAACATAGATTCATAGATGCAAGCAGAGTCGTTAAGTAAAGTGCTGAGGCTTTTTTTCATGGTGCGTTTCATGCTATACACAGCAGAAAACATGTGAAATGCACAATTCATTTCTTTTTTATCTTTTGCAATATAGGCTTTTATGAAGCTCCAAAGTGAATCACCATTGTTTGAAATAAGATGTCCTATACATAGTGACAGACACACAAACATTTCCTTTTGAGTAAATCTGACTGAATCCTGATGATTTTAGAATTTAGCTACAGTTTGAGATTCATTAATATTGGGATGTAAATTCCTTAATCTGGAATATTTGGTTACATCCTTGTGCAATGGGAATATACACTCACCGGCCACTTTATTAGGTACCCCATGCTAGTAACGGGTTGGACCCCCTTTTGCCTTCAGAACTGCCTCAATTCTTCGTGGCATAGATTCAACAAGGTGCTGGAAGCATTCCTCAGGGAGTTTGGTCCATATTGACATGATGGCATCACACAGTTGCCGCAGATTTGTCGGCTGCACATCCATGATGCGAATCTCCCGTTCCACCACATCCCAAAGATGCTCTATTGGGTTGAGATCTGGTGACTGTGGAGGCCATTTTAGTACAGTGAACTCATAGTCATGTTCAAGAAACCAATTTGAAATGATTAGAGCTTTGTGACATGGTGGAAGTAGCCATCAGAGGATGGGTACATGGTGGCCATAAAGGGATGGACATGGTCAGAAACAATGCTCAGGTAGGCCGTGGCATTTAAACGATGCCCAATTGGCACTAAGGGGCCTAAAGTGTGCCAGGAAAACATCCCCCACACCATTACACCACCACCACCAGCCTGCACAGTGGTAACAAGGCATGATGGTTCCATGTTCTCATTCTGTTTACGCCAAATTCTGACTCTAACATCTGAATGTCTCAACAGAAACCGAGACTCATCAGACCAGGCAACATTTTTCCAGTCTTCAACTGTTCAATTTTGGTGAGCTCTTGCAAATTGTAGCCTCTTTTTCCTATTTGTAGTGGAGATGAGTGGTACCCGGTGGAGTCTTCTGCTGTTGTAGCCCATCCGCCTCAAGGTTGTGCGTGTTGTGGCTTCACAAACGCTTTGCTGCATACCTCGGTTGTAACGAGTGGTTATTTCAGTCACTGTTGCCCTTCTATCAGCTCGAACCAGTCTGGCCATTCTCCTCTGACCTCTGGCATCAACAAGGCATTTCCGCCCACAGAACTGCCGCTCACTGGATGTTTTTTCTTTTTCGGACCATTCTCTGTAAACCCTAGAGATGGTTGTGCGTGAAAATCCCAGTAGATTAGCAGTTTCTGAAATACTCAGACCAGCCCTTCTGGCACCAACAATCATGCCACGTTCAAAGTCACTCAAATCAACTTTCTTCCCCATACTGATGCTCGGTTTGAACTGCAGGAGATTGTCTTGACCATGTCTACATGCCTAAATGCACTGAGTTGCCGCCATGTGATTGGCTGCTTAGAAATTAAGTGTTAACGAGCAGTTGGACAGGTGTACCTAATAAAGTGGCCGGTGAGTGTATAATCAATATCAATATTTATAGTCTGTCTAACTCTATGGGCCCTATTCTACCGATCTAAGCGCATGGTCTAAATCGCACGGCGCAAGCGCACTTAGGGTGAGGCGAGTCCGAATCCGAATCTTGGAAACAGGAAAAATGGTCAGCGCATGGTCTAAAAGGGTTGTCTCTATTCTCTTAATGAGTAATGGGTGTGTTTTGGGCTTTATGTGCAATAAACCAATCAGAGTCTCATCTCCCATTCCCTTTAAAAGCCAGTTGCATTCGCGCCATGGCGGATTCGCTATTTACATGACGGAATTTGATAGTGGAAAGACTGAACGCTTTTCCAGAGAGGAAGTGGATCTGCTCGTGCGCGAGGTAAAAGCAAGCAGACCATCTACGGGACAAGCCGGATTCCACCATATCTACACAATAATAATCTTTTACATTTGAATCCTTTCATTTTTAATATTTGTGTGCTGCTGTGTGTGTAATAAGCAGAGTGTTCACAGAGTGGACCTGCCTATAGGCGCGCATTACTAACGCGCTCTTTAAATAACAAAAAAATATTGCGGCATTGACTTTAGACCAGGTTTCAGTTGGTCAATAGCACAATCTATTTCAGTTGCCTCAAAATAGCAACACGCCAAAAACGCGCCTGAACACACCTTGTTTTCAGACCCGCACGCCCATGGGCGAACAGATGAGCGCAAATGCATTTGCAGGACGTGAAAATGATAACTGTGTCAGGCTGAAACTAGTAAAAAAAAGACTTGCGTCCCGCATAGGCGCTGCATTGAACCGGTTGTATGATAGGGCCCTATATCTCTCTCTTTAATCGTGCAGTTGCTCTCCTTCTTGAGTTAGATGAGTCCCTGGCAGCTTTTTGTTGACAAGGCAGAACCACAGGAAGTCCAGGCAGTTGGCCATTACTGAAGCCCCTTGTTGTGAGCAGTCAGGCTGCCCATATTTACAGCAAGAAGGACGGTGATTCTATCTCGGAAAATTGGAAGTGTCAAAGAGCGAGATCAGAGACATAAAGCTATGGCTGTCAGAAAGCAATTTTTATCGAACGGTGATAACCTGTGACCTACTGTGACCATGGTCAGAGGCATTGCTCACACACACACAGATACACAGAAGAGAAAAGGTGTAGAAAAAGACTGAATGTGAACTTTGCGCTGACATTACTGTGTGATTGACGACTGGACTCTCTTCTACACTCACAGCGATAGATCTGTTTGAATGGGCAGAGAATAACAGATGAAGGACGCAGGGTCTTGTTCCATTTTGAAATGAATGCTTTGCACAATCAATATTTGGAAATGTGATTTTTCACGTCTTTTGTAAATTGATGATGTACATTTCAGTTGTAATTTAGCACAAATGAGGAGCTTGACAGCCCCTGGTCACTATATGCAGAAAAGGTCTACATTCTGCCTGACATCTCCTTTTATGTTCCATGGAAGAAAGAAAAAAGTCTAGCAGAATTGAAACGTAATGATATTTTTACTCATTCACCATAATTTTTTTGGTGTAGTTTCTTTGCAGTATTGCTGTGAATCCCTTTGACACTTCTGGTAATGATGTAAGTAAGTTTCAAATGTAACTAACTCACTTCAAGTCCACTATGATCATTTTTTGGCCA